TGAAAACAAATAATTGTATATGTTACAATAAATAATAAGCAAATAATAAAATACATTATAAATTATGCATGTTTAATCTTCACTAACTAGATGATACACGCAGGCTCCACCCGGGTAATAAAACTAAAAAATCTAACAAATTAATAAAATAATACTAAAATATAGGTAGTTAGAACCAAATAACATTAGGTTGGTTCTGTATACTGCAACAAGTAGAAGAAAAAAAATATTTGCAATCTAAATGCAGTTAGGACATTTTCCAATGTAGGAGATTTTATAAAAAGTTCAGTGACACTGTTACATAAATTTTAGTTTAAGCCAACATTGCGTGCTCTCAGCTTAAATAGAAGTCAGTCATTGTGCCTGAGGAAATAAAAACAACCTTTTGCGATTAAAATTTTTCATGTTAGTACCAAATATAAACTTAGTTCCAGATCATAACAGATGTTACATTTGAGACTAAATTTTTAAGACGCCGTTAGACATTTGACCAATTAATTGAACATACATTGAAATAGCTCATAGTGTATTTGGATGAATTAATAATTATTATCCACTAGGCCTTCTATGGCCATGAGAGAAATTTGTTTCTTGCATTCAAACACAAAAATGAACTAGTTAAATAAAAAAATAAAAAAATACAAGATATGTCAGAAAAAAATACGTTTCATGCTAAATTAAAATTAAGTTCCTTTACTTTAGCTTACTACAATCATTAAATTCAAATATATATTTAATTTTTACTATCCATGTAATTCAACAGATTAAAACTATTATTCAATTAAAAATTAAACCTGATATTCCAAAATATAAGCTTTCAAACAGCACTGAAAAAAACGTATCTTACATATTGAACACATAACTCTTGGGAAGTTCAAGAATAGACTTTTAAATGTTAAAGGATGTATTTACCTGACTTAAGTAAAAGGTATTCTTGTTAATACAAATATACAAACTTTGAGTTTTTTTTACTTATCAAAATCGAAAATTTTGACTGTAGTTACTGCAGTTTTAAATAACGCCTTTATAACAACGGTACTTGACAATTGCTAGATTTGGAGCAACAGGTACATAGTACTCAATTATTTTATGAATGCTAATATTATAAATTCAATATTTCTCAAGTAAGCATATCGTCTAAAAAAACACAATACCGACTAATATACTATTATTTAAAAAAGCTGTATGTCTTACCATGTAAACACTTCAAATTTGTTCGCATTAAAACACGTCGTTCTGTTCTTTAAAACCCCGAACTAACAAACCAATCCATATTGCTAATAAAACGGGTTAATTAAAAAAATATATATAACTGTTAACTGTTTGACTGTTATTTAACTGTTAATCACTGTTTACTATTAACTGTTATAAGAGTCGACGTATAAGAGCTCCGCTCCGCTAAAAATCTGGGTTTTCTAATTTTTGTCCCTCAAGACACAAAATTTCCCAAATTGCCTATAGACCTCTTTAGAGAGCTTAAAACACAAAAAATCAGTATATCTAAGTATTTTTGTACAATTATTAGTTATTGTACAGAGAAAATTTATAAAAATATGATCTGAAATTTCCTATGTTATTCTTATGCCAAAAACTCAGAATATAAACTGTGTTATCCGTCCATTTTGTGGACAAATAAAGAGTTTAGCATATAGAAGGATGTATAAATGTCTTGTAGATAAATTAAGAGGTGGTAATTCAGACAGTTACTTACCCAACCCAAGTAATTAGCTCGAGGAGTGGTTTCACGTTTCCATGTTAATCACTGCCATTACGCCACCAGTGTAACAGTCAACATTTTTTGGATCTCTATTTTTCAGTTATACTGTAATTTTGGGATTTTATCAAAACAAATATTATTACAAACAAATATATTTTTAACAAACACAATAATATTACTCAGTTTGTATCGTATTATAAAACAAATTATGTCATCATAAGTTAACAAACCAAAAAGACAGGGCACTATAATACTGTGTAATATGTGCAGGATGGGTGGAGGTGTTCTTATCTTAGCGTATTATTATAAACAATCAGAATTGATCAGTATGACACACATAACATGTCGCTTCTTCTACGTGCACTCAAACTAGGCTGGTACAGAAATGTGGGTTAGTGTGAAATTGTGATTATAATTCGTCTCCTAAATATGAATAAACACAGAAAGCAAGGCACACACCATTAAAGTGACAAACGGCAACTCGGCACGCTTGCTGGGACAAGGTTGAGTTAATTGTATGTATTTGTATGTATCTTAGCCCGACGAAATCTGATATTTTCTAAACATTTACAGTACGAACGTTATTGTAATTGCTCAGCAAAACAAATATTAACTTTAAGTTATGATGTTATGTAGTAGTACACACATTAAGCATCTATATAAACTTTATAAAATATGAATTATTGTTCCACGCTGACTCCGTCATATTTTCTATATTCGTCATATTGTACTTGTTATTGTATGATTTTTTTTGGTTATGTAATTACTCTTAAAATAAAAGTCATACCTTAATTGGCTTCATAGTTTATTAATTTAAATAAAAGTTCTTAATTTACTCTCAGTGGTACGTTATGGTGACTTATTAAAATTTTTACTGCACAGTAGTAAATTTTATTTTAATAAATTTTTAGTGTAGTTTTCTGGAAAATAGCGTTTCTTTTATGTTTTGGAAAAAAATTGAACCTAGAATTAAATTCTTTCAAGCGTTGTGATACCTGATTTAATTATTAGTGGCTTCTCAGAATGTTTACAGCACCCTAAGAAAGTATGTCAGTAAATATGATCAAACATTTCATTAGTTAATGGGCAGCAGTTACATAGATGTAAGTACCAACCCACTCATCCACAAACAAGTGCCACATTGTAGGCATTAGTGCATTAAACAAATTGAGACATGCCATAGGCTAGTGCCATTCCGCTCCGGATAACTTATTTTTAGTGGCAATTTTTAAATTCCAGTTACGGATTAAGTCTACAATCTACAATATACACTGCCTGACATCACAAGAATTGTAAAAATGTGCAATTTATATTTATATGCATATGATTGTCAATAAAATTTTCCCTACGATAAAAGGTTTCACGTAAAAGCTTTTGGTGACATTAATAATGAGCTAAATGCTTTACCTGTCTATTCAAAGAGCCATGAACTGAAACTGAACAAAGACAAATGTTCAGTTCTCGAAATTGTGCCACAGAAAATTATTAAGCTAAATCAAGCAAGGTATGGTCAGTTGAGATAGTTGAGATAAAAGGGAAAGCCATTAATATATGCGAGAAATATAAAACGGTTAGAGTGATTCTTGATAAAGACTTGACGTTATCTGACCATGTAACCTCGTGTGTCAGCTCATGGGTCGGCTGTGAGGGTATGGATTGGGATTTTACCTGAGAATGTTAAAATAAAACCAGTAAGGGCCTTATTAATGTTACTATTTGATTTTTCCCTTCCTGCTTATGGAAACAGCTTTAACAAAAGTGAGCTCAATTAAATTAAACGCATCATGTGTATTGCCTTCCGGATTACTTGATGAATTGTATACAAGAGGGTGTACGTCTAGACCTACACCCTGTACCCGCCGCCGTGTTGTAAATTAGTTGTGTGGCCATGCATTTTATCGTTTTTTGTTTGTGTACGTGTTATGTGTTACGTGTTTTTCAAGACTCATGACGACCTCCTAGGAGCAATTTTACGTTCAGCTTGACAATTATGCCATAGACATCGAAACTGGTCGCACTAATGACGACTTAAGGATTACTTGGACAAAATCAAGGTAACCTAACCTACAGTAATGTATACAATAAATTAAACGTCTACAAAACGCCTTACTTATACATATTTATAATTGCACGAGAAGAGATCACATAACTTTTTAGAGAAACGCTGCACATATTTTGCCAATTAAAAAGGATTGTTTACACCTATCCTGCAGCCTGATACGAAAAGATAACAACTCCAGCTTGAGTACCCGTGTGAGAAACCTCTCTCTTGTCGAGATGGCTCTACTCGCAGCACGTGGCAGAACAAGTTGTTGCACTTTCGTAGAGTCAGGATTTAAGTGGGGAGGCTGATATTACTCATACTTTACAGCCCTGCCATGTATATTGTATAAAGCTCTCCATAATCAAGTATAAAGGGAAAGTTTAAAAAAAATAAATATTTATGCTTTTGACAAAATCAATGTTAAATTTCATGCATATCTGACCATATTTACTATTGGTATAAGGTACATTAATAATAGAGAATTCATTATTAAATATATAAAAAAACCACAATAACTGGTATAATTTCAACCGTGGATTCTTTGAATATAAATAAATAACGACTAATGGTGAAAAGAAAATTTTGATAAATAAATAATAAACGAAAATCTATTTACCAAGCAAACGTCTTTTAGAAACAATTCTGATCCTCAAAGCACATCTTATCATTCATATTTTAAGCTATACGTAAAACACACTACAAAATATAAACAGGTAGATCTATAACCCTAAAGTAGAATTATTGTTGTTCAGTATAGTACGAGAAGAGTAAATAGTATTTTGAGTTATTTGTTACCTAAATAACTTCTTACGTACTTTTGTGTGAACTATTTCAAAATATTTATAGATATTTTTACTTACCTCTCAACCATTTTACGAGTCGGTGCTACTCGTATCATTTGGAAATCGTATAATAGCTGCTACATCTATTTAAAGATATCCAATATGTAAAAGTGTACTCTAAAACTTGTTGTAGTTTAATGACAGAATTTGTGTACTAGTCATACTAATAAACTATTTCCACTGTAGACACTTAAACAAGATGGTACATATTAGATATAAAAATAATACAAAATATATGAACACAACTCTTGATACATGTTTATTTCTTAATAATAAATGTAAACATTGAATTATTTACAATATGAAATTATTCCAGTCATATGATCAATATTAAATAAAAGATAGATTATTTGGAATATATAACAATTCCTCCCTACTTATTTAAGAGAATGTTCATTTACAAGTTCATCCTTTTAATTGGTTTTCTTATTCTCAATGAGCGGCGAATTTTAGGGACAGGAACATCTGGTTGTGAGTTTGCATTGGACACTTCAGCGTCTTGTTGTGTACTTGGCTCTTCGGCCTCTTGTCGGCTGCTTGTACGATGGATTGTACTTGACGCTTCATTGTTATGTATAGGGCTTTTTTCCTCAATATTAGGCATAGTGCTTGCTGTAGGACCCGATGTTTCAGTGTCTATAGTTCCTTCCCAGCTTGGGGTGTTACTTGAGACATTTCCTGTATCTTGTGACTTTTCTGAATTGCTTATTGATTTCCTTAACATACCGTACCTTGTATTTCCCATGAATATCGGTTGTATTGAACAATTTTGATTGGTATTTTGGAATATTAAAGTTCGATTAGTTTGCTTTGGTGGTACTTTGGCTTTTGGGTCGCATCGGTTGTTTGAACTTTCTTGTCTTGTTTGTGTCAATGAGCTAGGTAGAGGGCTTTTGTAATGAGTAGAATCTTTTGGCACTTGACAAGCTCGAAGTTGATTGAAGTGGCGTTTTATTACATACCCATCATCAATTTCTATGAGATAGTGAAGTCGTCCCAGTCTTTCCACCACAGTTCCAAATTTCCACAGAATGGATCCTGCGTAATTTCTTGATTGTACTCTCTCCCAAATATTGTAATGTTTGTTAAATATTGGTTGTTGAGCCTCATTTTTGTCATCTTCGCCAGGCCTTAAGAGATCTAGCTTGGTTCTCAAGTTCCTGCCAAACATTAATTGTGCTGGGGATGCACCAGTACTCAGTGGTGTAGCTCGGTACCGAAATAATAGTGCACATAGTTTTTCATGTAAAGTGCCCTGTTCAAACTGCATGCACCTCAGTTTTGTCTTGAGTGTTTGGCAAAATCTTTCCGCTTGACCATTTGTAGAGGGGTTTCCTGGTGCAATGAATCGTTGTCTTATTCCTTGGCGTTTACAGAATGCTTGAAACTCTGCAGATTTAAAAATTGTGGCATTGTCACTGACCAATATTTCTGGTAGGCCATGGTAGTAGGGTAAAAATGAGAGAGCTAGCACCACCGTGTTATTAAACGGCTGAGAGAACTGGCACGGGGAGAACGTACATGGGTGAGAGAGCTGGCACGGTGAGAGAGCTGGCACACGGTGTCGAAAGTTTCCGTCGGCGTGTCGGGGTGGACGGTTGAGAGAGCTGGCACCGCGGAGGCTGGCACACGGGAAAGGTGTCGGTGGTGTGTCGTGGTGGACGGACGAGAGAGCTGACACCGTGGAGGGTACAGGTGTGACAAGATGTATTATAAATATTTAAATTAACATTTTGATTTTTAAGGTGGTGATGATTAACTCGCAAACGCTTGTCGCTTTTGTCAATTAGTGTTGAGTGTAGATAGTTTTCCAAATGCGTGGAGTAAATAGAGTGTTTAATTGTTAGCCTGATGTAAGGAATAATGGATAAATAATATGTTTATATAGATTAATTTAAATTTTTGGTTGAAAACATTTTAAAGATATAAAGTATAACGTTTATAAATCTAAAGTTTTTTATCAATAATATTTTTATTTTTTTCCTACCTGAACATTAGGTTGAGGGAACACTGCCTTCAAGATAATGTAGAGGTCTTCAAGACTCTCCAGGCCTGATCCCTCGACGATGGAAACGTCCCAGGTGGAGGGTGTGGTCAGCGCGTTGGAGGAAGACATGATGATAATGATTTTGTGTGCGCGAATTATATATCTATATATATACTGATAAGATATGACGTCTTTGACCTTAACCTCCACACGTGGTATTTACGTTATCAGTCGGAAGTCATTAAACACACACGCTGCAACGCTGCACTTTGTAATGGTTACGCAAATTATTATGTTTTGATAAACTAATGCTGCATCCATGATAATCCCTATCAAGAGTTTTTGCACGCCACGATAAGCCTTGCATCATCAAGGATAATTATCAGCTCAGCGCTAAATATTTATTTAAATATACAAACAGTAGTTTTATGATATAAATGAATTTCAGATATAAATGTACAAATATCCTTATTAAACAAATTGTTTTCATGGTAAACAACGTCATCGTTAAATGACATGCCATAAAAGCGCTTTTAAGTCCACCATAAGTGTTTTTAAATTAATTTATTAAGATATTATTATTTATCCATTATTTCTTACATAAGGCTAACAATTTAACATTCTATTTACTCCACACATTTGGAAAACTATCTACACTCAACACTAAATGGCAGAAGCGAGAAGCGTTTGTCAGTCAAACGTTACCACCTTAAAAATCGAGTTTTAAATAAAAATATTTATAATACATCTTGTCGTACGCCCGACATCAGGTAACAAACACCCTTCCAAACCGACACACCTCCGACACCTTTCCCGTGTGCCAGCCTCCGCGGTGCCAGCTCTCTCAACCGTCCACCCCGACACGCCGACGGAAACTTTCGACACCGTGTGCCAGCTCTCTCACCGTGCCAGCTCTCTCACCCATGTACGTTCTCCCCGTGCCAGTTCTCTCAGCCGTTTAATAACACGGTGGTGCTAGCTCTCTCATTTTTACCCTACTCATGGTGACTGAATATTTCTCTGAGGTAATGAATAGTACTGGCAGTTGTTGGCGCACTTTTTATCGGATATATTTCTGGCCACTTTGACCTGGCATCTACAACAATCAAGAAGTTGTGATTCAGAAAAGGTCCTGCGTAATCCATGTGGACTCGCTGCCAATTGCGTTTTGGTATTTCCCAAACATGGGTAGGAGCCTTCTCTGGATTTTTCTTATTCTCACAACATGCCTTACAACTTGCCACCATACTCTCAATATCTGTATCAATGTTTTTCCAGTAACCGTAGTTTCTTGCCAGACTCTTCATCCGCACTATTCCTACGTGTGTTGAGTGTAATTCTTGGAGGATTTTAGGTTGTAGCTTTTTTGGAATGATAACACGATTTCCTCTAAAAATAATTCCGTCTTGAAGTGATATTTCTGGGTCAGCGACTTCTCCGTTTAGGAGCTTTTCCTTTAAGCGAGAGAGTTCTTCGTCAAGTGATGTTTCTTTTTCTATGTCTTTAGCCATGATTGTATCGGTTGTTATGCAGTGTATTGTCTCTCTTCGAACAGTGTAATCTTCGTCAACCACATTTATATTCTCTTCTTTTATGGGTAAGGGATGTCTTGAGAGGTAATCTGCATTACAGTGGTCGTTTGATTTTTTGTGTACAATCTCATAATCAAATCCTGAAAGAAAATGAGCATATCTAAGCATCCTGGATGAAGTCAACAATGGTAGTTTCTTGTCTGGATGAAATATGGTCATCAGTGGTTTGTTGTCAATGGCAAGAGTAAACTTCCTTCCGTATATGTAATCGAACATTTTTTACATCCCCAATATACAGCAGTTGCTTCTCTGTCCAATTGGCTATAGTTGCGCTCTGCAGCAGTGAGGGATCTGCTGGCAAATACAATAGGTCTCTCTTCATTATTTGGCATTTTATGAGACAGCACAGCTGATAAGCCAACAGGGCTAGCATCTGTAGCAAGTATCACGGGGAAGTCTGGGTTGTATGGAGTAAGGACTGTGTCACTTGCTATCTCTTCTTTAACACAAGTAAAAGCTTTTTCACATTCCTGGGACCAGTGAAAACGTTTTTCTTTCCTTAGAAGCTGATGTAAGGGATTTAGCAGTGTAGATGCATCTTTGATGAACTTTGAATAGTACTGTACTAGTCCAAGGAATTGACGCACTCCTGTGATATTTGTTGGACGGGGAGCATCCTGGATTGCCCTCACCTTTTCTGGTGATTTCTGGATACCGTCTTTGCTGATGATATGACCCAGATACTGCACCTTTCTCTCAAAAAACTTGCATTTTTCAACATTCACATGTAGATTGTGTTGTTCCAATTTTTCTAAGACCTTTATGAGCCTGGATTTGCATTCTTCAAAAGTGCAGCCTTGTACAACAATATCATCAAAATAAGCCACTGTCCCTTCAAGATTTTGTACGACTTGGTCAATAAATTTATGAAATTCATTTGGGGCAGTCTTAATTCCGAAAAACAGTCTTTTTGCTAGATATGTACCCTTATGTGTAGTAATTGTCTGGACTTTAGAACTTTCAGAGTCCACTGAAAGATGTAAATAAGCCTTGTAAATGTCTAAAGTGCAAAAATAGTTTCCATTTCTCATTTTGTTAAGGATATCCTCTATTCTTGGTATTGGATAACGACTGTCATGTAGTTGTTGGTTCACAGTTACCTTGTAATCCGCGCAAATACGGACCGCTCCATTTGCTTTTGGAATCACAACAATCGGTGTTCCCCACTCAGATTGATCCACTTTCTCTATTACGTCTTCTTTTTCAAGTTTATCTAGTTCATTCTCAACAGCTTCTCGAAGAGCATGAGGTACTGGTCTGGGTTTTAAGTACACAGGTCTTGAATTATCCTTTAGTTTTAAAGAGCATGTAAAGTTGGGTGTTTTACCAATGCATTGTTCAAAAACGCTTGAAAATCTTTGCTTGATAGATTTGACAACAGTGTTGGTATCAACCTCTGGTTTCTTCATATTGACAAGATTAATATTGTGCAAGTTAATTTTCAATTTTCGAATCCAATCCCTTCCAAGAATAGCGTTTTTAGGTAGATTTACAATGTATAGATCCTCTCTGAAAGATCTCCCTTCGTAAGATATGCTTAGGGTACAGACCCCGATTGGTTTGAAAATTTGTCCAGTATAAGATCGAAAAAGAGCACTTGTTTTGCAAACTGGAACATGTAAGTCTAGTTTCTTGAAGTCATCATTATTTATTATGCTAACACGACTTCCGGAATCACACTCAAAACGTTGCTGTTTACCATTTAGAGATACGTTAATCATCATTCTGTCATCTCCTTCGTCATTCTTCAATACATTTATGATCCGTTGAACGTCGTATTCATATTCAGAATCAATTTCATCAACTCTTTTTACATTTTTCTCTGAAGACTGTAATTCCTGTATTCGTTCGCTATGCAAACCTTTTCTATGTGTCCATCTTTATGACAATACCTGCAATTTAGTTCATCTATTAATCGGCAATTTTGTGTTTCGTGGTTATTCCTTCCACAGTGCAAACAGACATCTAAAAGTCCCAGTCTTTGTAGCCTTTTGTTTTTCCTGTCTTTCTTTTTGCTTGAGTCATTAGAGAAATGGTTTTTGGTTGAGAAACTTTTATTCTTAGGGCCGATATTGTTCTTTGTTGTTTTACTTATTTTGTGAATGTCATTCTGGTTATTACTAGTATATAAAATCTGGTTGTCAAGTTTTGATGCCTCTATAGCCAAGGCGATTTCTAAGGCTTTGTCAAATGATATTTCCCCCAGTTGTAAGAGTTTTTCTCTGATGTCCGAGTCATATAAGCCTCTGATGAATTGAGCCCTGAGCATGAGGTTTATAACTGATTTTGTACATTTTCCTTCTTTACACCCAGATTTGAAATCTGCTGAACAAGCCAGTTGTTTGAGGACTGTGACATAATTTGTGATTGATTGATTTCCATCTTGTAAACGGGATAAGAATTTGTGCTGTTCTGTAAGTATGTTCTTCTTTGGGCTTAGGTGCTCATTTAGTAATATCAGTAATTCTTGATATGTTTTTGAGTCTGGTTTGTCTGGAGATGTTAGACTACAGATCAGATTGTAGTGCTTAGCACCTAAGCAATTGATTAAAAATAAACCTTTCAATTGTTCAGTCTCTGAGTCATTGTCTGTCAATCCTTTTATTTTAAAAAATATTTCTAAACGCTGAGTGTAGCTTTCAAACGTTTCCTTACTTTCATCATAAGCATCAAACATCAAGGCATTGCTCTGAAGTAGTTCCTTGGTACTATGTTTTGATCTAGGCTGTTCTGTCTGTTGACTTGTATGTTGTGTCATTAATGTCATAAAACTGTTCAAAGTAGATACAAGGTCTTGTATTTCAGTCATTTTCTTCCTCGTCGCCAAATTATTAGATATAAAAATAATACAAAATATATGAACACAACTCTTGATACATGTTTATTTCTTAATAATAAATGTAAACATTGAATTATTTACAATATGAAATTATTCCAGTCATATGATCAATATTAAATAAAAGATAGATTATTTGGAATATATAACAGTACATTTGGTATAAATATCCATGTTATTTCCAAACTAAAATTATAGTCTCGGTAATCTTTACGCAAAATTACATTTATATGATTTTATAAACATTCGTTAAAAGAGAGAACTCTATACGCAGTGCGATATAGATTTACTTAAACATCATGCCTTTTTGTACTACGTTTAGTAATTATTGAAGAAAGTACACATTGTTTGCTTGTATATTTGACTATACCTTTTTAGGACGCAATATTATTTTTAAGAAAACATGTATTTGGAATGTATCAAATCTGGAAACCTTAAACTAAGTTTTATACACTCGAGCCCAAAGAATGTTTGCCTACTAGGAGAGAATACCATCTGGCTTTCAAACTTGTTTCTACGTTATACATGTGACTATCACTGAAAGAGTGCGAATATGTTCAGTTTGTAAATACTGAATCACACGGTTTTATGCCCTAAAATTTTCAGTAGTAACTAACTTTTTCTTTATTATAAAATGTAACCGAAAAGTATAGTTTTTAAATTTTGTCAATAGTAAATTGTGATCGATACGCATAAAACCATAAATAAAAGGAGTTCTTTTAATCTATGAAAAAACTCAAACTTGTAAGAAATAATGAATCTCATTAAGTCTGGCTTTGGAATACCACGTGATTTACGATAATACTGGTTAGAAATAATTTTATTAGTATTTAAGTGTAATCTTTACGAAGTACAAAAACAATACTTAATTTTCTATTATAATATGACGTTTATATTGTTTACAAAGGTATTGTAGATAGATTTTTACAGAGGCATAGCACTAGCAGAACCTCGAGTTGGGTCGTAATAAAAACTGTGAACCGTAAATCTCTCGGTTGGAGCGCGAGCCTAATATGTTCGGCTGTTAATCATTTGTGAGAATGCGCATTGTTGTTAGAAAACTCGTTAATTGATTATTCACTGGCAGTTTTGAGGAAATTAGGATATTTTATCTTAGGCCTGTTATCAATATAGATTGGTTACTTCATAAATGAAAAGAAATAACATTAAACTCATACCATTTACAATGAAAGGTAATTATAACTAGTTGCACGAGTTATAAATATGTAATGCTACTAAGGATTTCTGTAAAACGTAACCGTCATGGATTTCAAAAAGTTTACAGTTACTTTTACTTGAGAATGGTCCCAAAAACACGTAAGTAATAATTTAAGTAATTAAGTAATAATTTAAATATACGGTTTATTGCGTAGACTATTAAACATTTGTTGACGCTCCTGTATTGAAATGGTTGGTGTTGTTAGTTCACCATTTCAGTGTGTTTCAATCAACAACATTCAAACGGTGACAGAATTATTCTTTTTTTTATAAATAGACACCTATTTATAAAACACTTATAAACTAGATATAACACTTATTACAGACGGTTGTATGATACCAAGGTGCAAGCAAATCGATTGAGATGAGCCTCAAAGCAAGAACGTAAACTGGCGCAACAATTGTCGATAACATATTTTAGGACGTCCATTTGTCGACGATCATCATAATCAAGGTAATGTGTTTAGTTATTGAAGTTTAGTGCGCTTATTAAGCCATGTGTCCAAGCAGGGGATTTAATTGAATTTGTTTACAATGTTTTAAATAATAACATTTTCGATGGAGAATATATAGGTTTGCACCTACATTATTTTTAAACATGTGTAACTTTCTCCTCATACACATAATGCGTTATATGGAGAAAGTATTTTCCTCATAAAATAATTATTATAGGTACTCCTACAGTTTACTCATGTTTTGGCTTGTTGACAAGCTAATAGGAGAAAGTATTTACTAGATTACTGATACCATTTTCTCTATAATTTTTATATACTTATACATTTGTTTTTTGTTTTAATTAGTTCTTTAATAGTTTTTGGTCAAATCAGTATTTAAAATTTTTATGGAGAGAACTTCATCATGAAGATAGCATAAACAATTTCTTAAGGTGTTTTACAAACACTATATCCATGACAATGTTACGATACACAACAACCGTAAAGCTGCTTCGCTTATCTACGACCGATATCGATTGGCTTGCCACTGAAAAATATAATTGGTGGTCTAGTTTTTGCATAAAAAAGATCATTATGATACCATTCTGTAGTCAAACACTAGCTAAACTTTATCCCACATTTAAAACAGTAAAACAAACTAAATCCTTTATTTTTGTGCTGAATTGCCTGATAAAGTTCACCAATACATATTAAGTTTGGAAGCAATTTCATGGTCATGTAAGCACACTACAAAGTCTACCTCAAAAAAGTAATTTTCTTCTAATGGAAATCTAGATTTAATGATGTTTGGTGTGCGTTTCCTTAACCAAACGCCTAACTTATCTTAAATCTGCACTCAAAATGTAGGCTTAGTAATAAATAAAACTATGACTGACATCAAGAAAATAAGTAATTAAAATAGCCTGGGATCTAACAAAGTAGCAATTACCTTTTTTTAAAGCAGAAAGCATTATCGCAATTTGTTTGTTGAGGAGAAATCGCAGGATAAGATTATGACATAATAATTTTGAACAATTACGAATTTCGTATCAGGTATTTTCGGTTGACAGTTTAAACTTCCCATGTCACCACATTACATAACTCATGGGCATGTAAATGTACTTTTCTATTCTCAAAGAGAAATCTTTTTCACCACTCTGTATTTGGGACATTTCAAAGGTCGTTTTTTGCCAATCTATAAAAAACATTTGACTTTTTCTGTCCTAAACAATACTTTTCCTGTTCTAAATATTCATAAAAAATGAAATTTCTGTGAAGCTCAACAGGAGCGTTAACGTATGTATTACGAGGAATGAAATATTATTCAAAAATACTTTTACAACCAGCTATTTTTAAAACCAAGTTATGGAAACTTTAAAGAGAGTTTCTAGGCTGTGAAATCAAATTTGATTATTTAAAACCAAAAAGTCTTGTTCGAATGTTTAATCGGCTTCACCTCACATGTGAACCACTATTCCGGGACTAGATTTGAAATATGCTATTTGAAGCATTAGTGTTTCTAAGGGCGTATTATTAGTCACTATAAAGCCTGATTAGTTTAGTTGGTTTATGTTAGGTATAGATTAGGGGGTATAGTACTAATATTAGCTCTGAAAAGGTTAGTTTCACTGTCAAACAAAATTTAACTAAATATAGTGATTGTTTCCCAATCCCGTGGACCAAGATTTCTTTAAGAGTAATCATCTACCTTACACGTTCGATTAGAGGTGTCCATCAGTCAATGATTAGTTATAGTCCCTTTGTATTTTCTTCACTTAATGCCATTAATCCGAATGTTTTTTTGTACCAGATAAAAATTTACTGTTTCGAATTTAAAAATTAAAATTTAAAATTAAAATTAAAATTTTGCGTACTTTTGCAACAAATAACTCCATGGTCTAGGCCTATATAGTATTTAGTA